GCCTGTCTCCCTCCAGTCTTGCGACCCCTCGTAGGTCGCTGGCTAGCTATCCTCTCTAGAGCACTAACCAGCCCCATTGTAGTTTCTGTGCACTACACTAGCGATCATCCCTAGGACACTAGTCAGCCCCATTGTAGTGTCTCAGCACTACAGTAGGTCCTGCGTGTAGTTCATAGCCATTACAGTTTTCCCTACTGAGGCTATAGTGAACGTATAGTGGCATATTCCGCGGAAAAAACACGATGCAATATTAGTATTACGTTAGATCAATTAGGCAAAAGATACAGCCAACTAGCTATGAGTGCCAGCTAGCTATGAGAACCGGTTACGAGTGAGAACAGGCTAAAAGCGTCAGCCGCGGATGTATCGCGGAGACACCAACCCACATTAGGGAGTCACAGTCTGACGGCAGATCTTTTACACTTTTTTTTCGAGGAAAAGGGACTAGAAACATGACATGCGGCTAATTACATGGATTTAAGGAGTTTTCGCTTGATTTATCGGGATGCTGCTCACAGAGAAGCACTTAGGTGTTCACGTAGTGGCAGCAGTAAATCCGCTCGCACACTACACTGATAGCTCTGGTTGCCCATAACAAGATTCGTTCTCGAACAGTGCCCTCTTAAGAGCATAGTATCCTCTTAAGAGCCGACGTTTGTTGCAGCAGACCCAAGGTCTATCAGCTTGAGTCCAGGGTGGGCGGAAAACCCTGTGCAGAGCCACTGCTGTAGACCATGTAGACCGGGAACAGGCCTCGTGATTCCTCTGCTGTGAGGACGGACTGTGGGATATCTCTCACTCTGACAAGCCTCGGCGAATCAACCCGATTTTGCTTATAATAAATTCCATCGGTCTTTTATTCCTTCTTATTTCAGTGGAAGTTTCTCTTTTTGCTATTGAGATTTCCATCCCCATTATTCATGCTTTTGCTCAATAGAAGTCGGCTCTGAGTCAGGCGAATGCGGCCTCATTCATGCCATTTTACAATGGTGCTTGTCCTGCCTTATGTCTGCATCATGTAGGCACCAAGAGCGTGTGTGGACCCAAAGACGGGTTTCACATACCTAAAACGCTCGTGAAGCTCACTATGATATGAAAGGAGCTACAACTGTTATCTTAGCATAAAGACACCTAGTTTCCCTTCTTCAAGCTGTAGTCCCCAACATGATGCGAACCTCCAGTGCTGGCCGACGCTCTGCGTGCAAGGGGTCAAATAGACAGATTAACTGCTCCGATATCTTTTGAAACTCAACATAATGAGCATTTTACTTGAAGTTGGCCCCTGTATTTTTTGTTTTGCCGAGTGAGGGGTCGAGCAGAACTTGCTGGTCTTCTCTTGAAGGGAAGTGGGAAGTACCTGCTTGTGCCGCCGCCATCACCTGCCTTTATAAGGCTACATGTAACTGCTTAAAGTTGTGGCGGTTCTATGAGTGCATTCTGCAGTATGGATGGAGAACGGGATGAGGGGCTCACTGCTGTCAACTTCCAGTCCAGGTCCACAACTGCTAGGCTGCGACCATCGCTGCAGATGAGTGGGTCCATTGTACTATCGCAGGGAGGACACTGTGATCATGCCTGCTTGTTTACTCTTGTATCAGACCCGTGTATTTTATGTTCAAATTACGACTGATGCCTCATTCTTCCGCTGCGACGTCCCAAGGAGCCTAGTAGGGCTGTAGGCGCGCTGCCGACCAGCAGTGAAGTACGTGCTGGCCTTTGTTTGAGGACCAAAATTGAAAGTCTTTTCATAACTTTTCAGATATACTTTTGATTTTTTGTTTGTTGGCTCCTGCCAGCTATCCTTAGAAGGCAGGGGCCCTCCCTCTCGGTTTGGTAGAGGCTACGCGTGGAAGAGTAGGTACTGCTACAGTGTTTGCTGTTCCATTTCTCACCCTTAACACACCTGGTATCCAATTGTTTGCTTGTAACAAACTTGATGCAGTAAAGATTTGAAGAAACATTTGACACCTGACTGTGTCTAGATCTGCTTTTTGGCGAGGGACTAAGAAAGCCCCGAGCATCCCCAATCATTTGCCTCCTGTTCTCCTCCGCAGAAGTCAACCCATGCAGGCCCAACAGAGACAGAAGCATCAGCAGCAGCAGCAGCACGGGCCGCAGCAGCAGGAGCCGCAGCAGCAACGGCAGCAGCAAAGGAGAAAGGCCATAACTGCACAGAGGTCGCCACCCTGCGTCCTTCCAGGCTGCTGAGACAAGTCATAAGGTATCTGCTATGCGTGCAGAAGGACAGGAACTGCTGCAACAGCAGCAGGCGACTTTATCCCAGCAGCAGCAAGCAATTCCGTCGCACCAGCAGCAGGTAACCCCGTCACAACAGCAGCAGCTGCTCTCAACAGCACCTCCGCAGCACCATCAACAAGACGAACATCAACACCAGCAGCAACAACAGCCCCGGCCGACTCGTCGCAGTAATCGCAACAACCCACACCAGCGGCAGCAGCAGGATCAACAGGAACAACATCAGCAGCAGCCAAGGTCACGCAACAGAACAAACCCGCAACGGCGCTCGCGTCAGCAGCATCAGCAGCACCAGCAGGCCGGAGCTCTAGCACCATGGGGTTCCCAAGCATCTGCATTGCCTGCAGCGGGGAGGCAAGTGCGGCGTACTTCAAGGGCTGTGCGGAGGGACGCAGCAGGGGCATCGGAAGCGTGTCCTCCTGCAGTGCCTGTCAAGGACTGGGTTTCCCGCGCAATGCAGCAGCGTGGTTGGGAGAATTCGGAGAGGCAAAAACGTGAAGATTATGTGCCGACGCTGCCGGAGGGAGGGATCCCCTCTGAGGGCTTTCGATTTCGGTTGGACCACGGGTATCCGTTGGACATACGAGGGGGTGGCACACAAGGGAGGTCGCGGCCAGGTGCTGCTGCCGCTCACTGCCCTTTTTTCCCTCCTCCGTTTTGTCTGCCTTTACTAGGTGGGCTCCCGCAGCAAGGGCCTACTGGGTGCTCTGCACAGACATGGGGGTCACAGATGCCGTTTGAAGCTCCCGATGCGGCCCGCGCAGGCCTTTCTCCTCCGCTTGCTTCGCAGCAGGTTTTTTCCGGCCAACTGAAAGGTTCCCCGCAGCAGCAGCAGCGTGTGCAGCAGCAGCCTCACGTACAGCAGCAGCAGCGCGCACAGCAGCACATGCAGCACCATTCTCGGCTTGCCCCTCTCCCGGCACATTATTTGCAGTCTTCTTCAGACTATCCGTTTCCCCCCATGATGGGAGTACCGACACGGTCCCCCTTTGGCAGGGAAACACATGCGGAGGGCAGCAGCAGCGGCACGTTGCAGCGTCGGGACGAGTCGTGCAGGGGCAATACAAGCAACAACGCTCAGCTGCTTGCCTCCGAAGCAGACCCAGCTGATTTTTCTGCTGCAGCTGCAGCAACAACTGAAGCAGCCAGAACAGGTGACAGACAAACTACTGCAGCGCAGCCTGCTGCTGCCACACCGATGGGTGATAGCCTTAGATGCAGGGAGGCAGCTGGTATCCACGCAGCCATAAGCACTTCAGACGAGGAAGAAAGCGGTCCATTTTCGGCTGCGCCTGCTGCTGGAGGAACAGCAACAACAACAGCAGCAACTCCAGCTCTTAGTAGCGTTGTGGCACTGGGGGCTTCAGTAGCATGCCCCAGCCCGTATGCTGTCGTGCGGGAAGGGCAGCTGCAGCAGCATTCTTGGCAGCACATGTCTCATCCGTATTGGCAATCATGGCAGCTGCAGGAGCACTGGCAGCTGCAATTGCAGCAGCAGCAGTGGCAACAGTGGCAGCAGCAGCAGTGGCAGCAGTGGCAGCGCTTGCCGTACACCGTTGCTGCTCCAGTTGATGCCTCTGCGTATTCATACGTGCCCATGCAACACCTGCAGCAACAGCAGCAAATCCAGCAGCTCCATCAGCTGCAGCAGCAGCAATACCTGAATCTGTTTCAGCAACAGCGACATGACTGGGGGAGCCAGAGGGCTTCTGGCCCAAGTAGAAACTATCAACGGACTCCTCGTCGAGTTCCACAGCAGCAGCAGCAGCAGCAGTATCAACAACAGCCTATTCAAGCCCACTACAACGGCGGAGTTGCTGATTCCCGCAGATGCCCTCAGCGTCAGTGGCAGCAATTGTCTTTCCCAGTGGCAGCAGCAGATTGTGTGCGTCACATTGCACCCGGTACCTCTGCAGCGGCGGTAGCTACTGCGTACCCCTGGTCCGTGCATGCACTAGCAGCGCCATCTGTTTACGACACCACGGCCCTCTCTCAATCAGGCTCACCGATGGCCCGTACGCATGGCCATTTTGTGGCTGCACCATATACGTACACTTCCACGGCGCACAGTGCGCCGGCCTCCACATTCTGGTCGCAGCCTCAGTTGCAGCAGCAGGTGCAACAGCAAGTCCAGCAGCAGCAACAGCAGCAGTGGCAATGGGAGGCCCAATCACGGTACTCTCGGGGTTCCAGCAATAGAAACTCGAGGGAGCAGCCGGGACGTTTGCGGACTGTACAGGATGACCGAAACGCTATAAGCAGTACTCGGCACATAGTTGAGGCGCATTCACTTAGCTGTAGTGGGAAGGTAGGTAGAGGCTCTGCTACTGCTGCTGCTGAAGGTGGTCGCCAGGTGCTTTCGAGCAGCAATGCAGACGCTGGGGAATCGACGGATTCTGCAGCAGTCGCAGTTAAAGATGGTGAAGAAGGAAGCAGCCGCGACAGCAGCCGGAGCGAAACTCACAGCAGTCCTTCCCGTCGCAGTCGCAGTAGCAACAGTAGCAGCAGCATATCCAACAGCCACATGCTTCCTGAGGAAGGCTACTCGTATACCAAGAATATGGCGTACTTAGCTCCCCTCGTAGAACGAAAGAAAGTGGGCCCAGAGGACTTTGTCCTGCTGCATGTCATTGGCAAAGGGTCATATGGTAAGAGCAGACAGGGAACAATAATGAGCGCGGCTAGCAGCATACTACAAGCCTGAGGCGTCTTTCAGAGTGTTCAGTATATTCGAAAGCAGCCACACTTGTTACTGTCAGCGCTCATTAATACGCTACAGCAAGCGAAAGAACAGCAGGAGGAGAAGCAACAGTCGACACAGCGACAACCGCGGTAGCTCTAGGATACTTCAGTGAATTCGGCTCAAGTCCTTCTCGTTGTGGCTGTCTCTACTGCTCGCAATAAGCTCATGTTTGTCCGTGTGGTATGGAGCTACCGTTACTGATTGCTGGTTTTTTTGTTTTCTTGTTTCAGGGAAAGTAATGCTTGTTCGATTCGAGCAGGACGGCCAACTGTATGCCCTTAAGGTGCTGCTGAAGGAGTCGCTGTTGCGTCGTAGCCAGGTGAGATCTTGTTGTTCCGACAGGAGATGCATGAATCGGAGAACATAGTTTCAGGGAGAGAAACATTTTCAGTGGCCGCCTGGATGGCAGCGGTAGACAAGGTCTTTACGTTCACGCGATCACATGTGGATGAAAGTAGTAGAAGTTGTTGAAATCACTCCTCAAGCTGCTGCCTATGCATTAGCTGCTGCCGTGGGTGGTTCGGCTGCAATTTTGTTTAGTCAGTGCTTGTATTTCTACATTGTGTTTTAGCATAATGTGGCGCTAACGGGTTTTGCAGGTGCAGCACACGCGAACCGAGCGCGCGGTTTTGGAAGTTATAACTCATCCTTTTATTGTGCAAATGCATTTCGCCTTTCAGACACCCAAGAAACTCTATTTCGTTTTAGAGTAGGTTTGACGCTGCATTGCCTGTGTTCTTGTCGCACTGCATCTCTAATTGCCACGCTATATATCCACTATTCCTTTCAGCTTCCTCTGTCTCTGTGTCCTTCAATAATTTCTTGCTTTGAAGCTGTACTCCGTGGACTTCGCTTCCTTGTTGCTTGCCATGCCGAATGTTTCCACGTCGCCCTTGTAAGATACCCTCATGAGACCTCATGTGGCTTGCGTGCATACGTACATCAGGCAGCTTGCTGCTGCGGGTAGGACTGAGAGGTCTGTAGTACGTGAAGCAAACAGAATGCATGTGACACTCTGTGGCTTGCAGGTACTGTCCTGGAGGGGAGTTATTCTTCCATCTACAGAAAGACAGGAAGTTTAGTGAGGAGCGATCGCGGTTCTACGCTGCCGAGCTCTTGCTTGCCTTGGAGCATCTCCACAAGCACAACGTTATCTATCGCGAGTGAGGCAACCCCATCAAAGCTTACTCTACTGTTGCCACCAAACCGCGTGTTGCTTGTGTTTCCTTCCCTGCTTGGATAGGTTAAGTAAACGTGCGCATACAAGCAAACAAGCGATGCAAAACATGGCGGTGGATGCAACACTGTAGAGTCTTTGGTTGCTGCTGCACCAGTGCAAATTCTCCTAATATGCATTACTAGTCACTAGACGGCGGTGGCGCGATGGGACTTGTTTACATCCAGCCGTTAGGTTAAAAGTTCGTCTGCGAAGGGAGAAATCGTTTGTGTTTTGTTATTGTGTGTCATTTATCGCCATTCTTTCTCAGCCTGAAGTCCGAAAATGTTCTTCTGGACGCGGACGGTCACATCCGGCTGACAGATTTCGGCCTCTCCAAAAGCGGAATCGCTGACAACACTAGTGCACGAGTATAAAATACACTCTTCTGCTGCTGTTGCTGCCGTTGGTATTTCTTTTTTTCTGGTGTTAGTAGTTGGTAGGAACGATGGAGGCCTCCTGAAGGGTTTTGTTGTCCCTATGTTACATGCGTCGCTGCTGTTTCCCACTCTCCAAGTTCTGCTGCATTGTGAATGACATTGTGCTTCAGTCCGTTTGCGGGACACCGGAATATATCGCTCCAGAGATCTTGTGTCAGGTAGGCCACGGGAAGGCAGCGGATTGGTGGAGTCTTGGAGCCCTGCTGTATGAGATGCTGACAGGTCTGCCTCCCTTCTATACGGCAAATCGCCAGGCCCTTTTCACCAATATTCTCTGGTAAGTTCGTTTGTCTCCTTTTACCCTCATGCTTCGAGCATCATCCACTTTCACACAAAAGAACATGCATCGCCAGAATACTTACATTTAGGAATTTATGTGCTAGCATGAATGCGCGTATGCGTCCGTAATGAAGTGTGACTAATGACAGAGCTGGTGATGCGGTGATTGATTGACAGTCGTTTGCATGGGAAACGGCTTTCCGTGTGTTGCTCCAGGCTTGGTCAAGCACCACCGGAATAGATGTTAGCGTGTGGACACTGCACTATAACGCTCACCAGCGAATAGCAGATGCAAACATATCTTTGCGGTGAACATCATGCTTTCATGCGCGTTGGCTTATAACCAGTTGGGATTCTGGTTTTACAACCTTCTGCCGTGCCTACTGCTGATTATGATCATCTGACAATGTTATCAGGGACAGCATGGATGGCCGGTTCCTAAAGTTGTGTATTGGATGATAATGATCGGGCTTGACTTGGGATATTGAGCTCCCCTGAATTTTTTTGTTCGCCAGCGAGAAGAAGCGTGAATGCTATTTTGCTGTGCAGGGGAGGGTTAGACTTTCCCGCGGATCTTTCTCCCGCTGCTGTAGACCTCTTAAAGAGCTTATTGCACCGCGATGCCAATGAGAGACTTGGCGCTGGGCCTTTAGACGCAGAGGAGATTAAAGTGTGTTTATCTGCTTTTTTTCGAAGCTGTGTAGCCAGATCAGACAAATGGTGGAAGGGAGGTGACACAAGCTACTTGATTAAAGAAACAGTTGTAGAGAGCATTTTGTTTCTGAACTTAACGGTTTGAATGGCCATGTGCTCAATGCAATCAGAATACTCTTTTTTCCCAAATTTTATTTCTTTTCAGAGACATCCTTTCTTTGCGCCGGTGGACTGGGGACGTCTTCTCGCCAAGGAAATTGAGCCTCCTTTCAAACCTCGCCTCCTTTCGCATGAGGACCCTAAGTATTTTCCTGCCGAAGTTAAAAGAGAACCAGTATTTTCAGATGATGGAGAAGGACCTGACGCAGCGTTTGGTAGTGGCGCCGTGAGGGACGCCGCCGCGAGAATGCAGAGGTCTCGCACGCCTAATCGTCGCGCCGCAGTCGACAGCAGCAGCTGTGGCGATAGCGGTAAAATTAGCAGCAGTAGTAGAACAAGGCCAGCAGCAAATTGTGCAGCTGATGGGAACTGTGTTGCGAGGCCCGCATCGGGTACAGGAGGTCACACGGAGGACGCATGTACAAATGAAAGGCCACACGCATGCAGCTCTCTTTCCTCCCATGACTCTCAGAACACTGAAGAAGATGAAGGGGAGGCCCTTTTCAAGGGTTTTTCCTACGATGAGCGCCTCCAGGGGTTTGTCTATCCATCTCACCAAAAATTTAACCAAGCTTCATCTACTTTGCTTGCTCTAACTCTCTCACACAGAAACTTGTTCACCTGCGAGATTCGCCGAGTACAAAATGCGAACAGTTATAGTCTTTGAGACTGTGCCTTGTTCTCGGACTCGCTGCTGAACGTCTGAATGGCATGTGTGCTGTTTGTCTTTGTGCCATGCCATGCCAGAACCTGGGGTAAGGCGGCCGCATCTACGGATGATCCCTACGGCTTCTAGGTGTCTTGGAGCTTATTTTTGTTGTTTCTCGCAAAGCGAGAGTTTACTTGTTCCACTCTGTCTCGCTCAATCAGGTGATTGCCGGCGAGGTCGGTCGTTTCCCCTTTCCCCGGCTTCGGCTTCTGCACGACAGAGATTGGGTTATTTGATGTTTGTAGATGACACCAAAGCGCTGTCGGCATACCTCCCGCACTGGAGAGCCCGGCAACCACACAAATATCATGGGCGCGCACAGACAAAAGACCCATCAGGGCCCGCAGAAGAGTAATTGTCAGTTGCTGCCTTGGGGAGGCCAAGAGCCAGTATTACCCGTTTTCCGTCTTTTTAGCCTTAATTTTACACAGTTCTCGGGATCCTTCGTCTGCGATTTCTTTGCTGGTAGTAAAGTGGTGAAGAGATGCGCCAGTAAAACGGCGTGAGAGAATCCTGCATCACTGCTTCCTGTTGCCCTTTCTTCCAGGGCATGACAGCTCCTTTTCTCTGCTTGCTCGCTGGTGTAAGCTAAGCGCGACACTGAAGGAGCTAATGGATGACATTTGTTGTCTCTGGGTTTGTAAAATGAGCCCCTTAGTTATGGGATCAGAGCCTTGTAGATCCCTGCGGTGCCAAGTCGGTAGTCCTTGTGAGTACCGTACGGGCTGCGATTTCGACAGAAGCGGCACGATTATGAAATAACACTTGTTTCTTGTCAAGGCATACCAAGCTGGTATGCGGAATGCTACACTGTCTGAGGTCTTATTGTTTATTTTTAAAGCTAGTTGTAGTGGTTCTACCCGAGGTGTTTCGCAGGGCGTACTCGCTAAATACTGCAGGGACGGCTTGCTATCTCAGCAAACGGCAGACACTGTCTAGTTCATGGGCGGTGAATCACAATTTTTGGTAGAACAGACGTGTGCAAACGTATTAAGCTATAGAGCAGGCCTTCCACAGGCCAAGCTGGTGTGAAACCATACAAATTGCAGCTATCATGGCTTTCAGTTGCAGTAACGCTGGGACAGGCAATGAATAGGGGCGGCGTACACAGGGTCTATTCAGCTACACTACTAGTGCGGCAAATGTGCGCAGCTACTTCACTTCGCTGTCTGTGGCGGACCTGCAGAAGATTTTGTCCGCTAGTTCTACAAGTGAAGGCACTAGACGATTTCCTACCGAATTTAGCAGGCAGTTGAGGAGCAGAGCGCACAGGCGTCGTCTCATAGTATGCAACTAGGCTGGTGGAGCTTGCAGGGGATTTCTGTGCCTCGTATTCTTTACATGGGAATGCTTTTTCCATTTCAATGGGGTGCTCGCAGCTTACCCTATAAATGCATTGGTGGCGCTGAGCGAGAATGACCACGAACGTCGGATTCATGTGAGATCAGATGGTGCCTCTGCCCATGTACACAATAGTTTGCTCTGCAGAGCCACTTTGCAACGCAACCAAATTTAAGTCCTCTGAATTGCATTTATGGCTCACTAGATCCTTAGGGCTCTGCAGGCAAGGCGCTTTGAAAACTCAATCTCCATATGACAAGGTGGTGCTGTTTGCGCTCTGTCAAAATCCTCACTGTAGTTCACGTGCTCATTTTCCAAGGTGGAGCTTTCACTGAGCTAGGGATAGCAGCAGGATTTGTTATATTCGACAATCCTAGTACGTGGTGGGGCTGGTGTTGCAGTTCCGGAAGTGGGAGTAGCTGCTATAGCAGGTACGTTTCACAGTTCCTGACGGTAGTGTAACGGATCACACTGGCGACGGCCCACGGCATTTTCTTTCTAAAAAGCGAGATTTTCGAGGTTTTCTAATTTTGCATGCATATGCCGAGTACCTCCACTGGTTTTGTTCGCATTGCAGACGAAGTGGGGGAGTCACAGCAAATCTGTGTACCGGCAAAGCAAAAGGCCGAATAACGTGGAGTATTCCCTGGAAATTCCGGCTACAGATTGCACGCGTATGCGAGAAGGGATGAAAGTAAGAGCATTCGAAATGGAAACCGGGTTGCCACGCCCGCTAACAATTGAATCGCAAAACGTCATCATCCCTATCGATCATGTGGCAGTGAAGGGGCAATTCTAGGTTGGAACTAACAGCATTCCAACGTAGAACACATTTGGCCATACATCCTGTTTGAACAAATGGCCGTAAATCGTTTGTTGCACTTTACTCAGGCAGGGAGACGTACCTAGCGAATGAAAACTGAAGCTCAGAATCAAGACTCGTTTGCACGGTAAGGGGAAGCCCTTGCATTTTAGACAACAAATTGAAGGGTGACGAAGTAGACATGCTCGTTTAGGACTGGGATGAAGCCCCTTCACTTCAGCATCAAAGCACAGCTTATCCAGCAATTTTTAACCTTTACCTTCCGAAGGGATTCAGCAGCTTCTCGCCTCCTACAAGTCTAATGTGACATTTCGCATGTGTGACACAGTATCTCTCATGTCTTTCTTTTACGCGCTATTGCGTTTGACCGCTTACTTCCGACTCTGTAAATTGAAAACTTTGAAGTACGGCCTCGGAAGCGTGTGACTTTTTCGCTTTCCTTTTACCAATTTCAGGTTGGAGTGTACGCCTACTTCACCGTTTGGAAGCACTAATTTATACTTTTCACGCTGCTGTATAATCTTGCGATGCTGCTTTTTGTATTCATATGTAAGAGCCTGTGTGGCTTATTGATCAGCCACTAACGCTCGGTGGTGGGCGCTACGGGACCATAACCAGGGCTTGTTGAGTGGACAGAAGTCAAACAAAAAGCGAATTAGGGCATTTATCGTGTAAAAGGTGAAGAGGCTCGGCTCGACTGAACTCTTTCAGCGCGGGTCGTGGTGGCGAAGCAAATCCTGAGGCACAGACTCTGTGATAATCTAAGGCTACGACAGCCAGAAGTTTTGTATTTGCCGCAAGCCGGGTCACTGGGATTGCAATGGTTCGCAACTCCCTATGTCTGCTTGCGAGGCGGCACTCCCAAAAATATTGGGCAGAACTAGGAAAAGCATATAAAATCTTAATTGTGAAGCATTGTTTTTCATGTTCCCTTCGTTAGCTCACCAGGTGAGCCATTTTGTATTCGAGAATGGTGACAGTAAGTGCGACGGACCATGTACTGCGCGACACAGAGGAGCACGCTTGCGTGGGAAGTTGTGTAGTGCACAGGCACTACAATGGGGCTGGCTAGTGTCCTAGAGATGATAGCTAGCTAGCGACCTACAAGGGGCGCGACACTGGAGGAGGACAGGACCCTCTCAACAAGAAAAAAATAAGAAAAAAAGTCAGTCAGTTCTAATGAATACGTGAAATGTGCGGAAATTGTGTGGAGACTGGGGCTGGTGATAGCGCCGGCACCAATGGACCTCCTCCCCATAGGGCCTAGGAGGTGAGCTCCGAGAAGGGGGCGAATCGACGAGACAGATTTGAAACACTTAAGAATTGTCGTATTTCGATGGAATAAAGCTATAGAGTCCGAGAAATGTGTCTATGCTAGGCGTAGTTAGTAGACCTGCTCGAAGGGCAGGAAGTAGCGTAGTCGCAGCAGTACGCGCCGCGCACTACATTTGGGGGCTGCTCCGGGATTGAAATCTTTATTCTTTCCGGACTTGGGAGTAGAAATACTATGTTTTAATGCCTCGCACCTAGAAATCTTTGCTCGGTAAGGAATGCACCTCCGCAACGGACGCGTTATCGGTCCCACACCGCAAGAGACTCCTACAATGTCAGTCAACAAAATGCCGAGCGGGACACCAGAACATCATCGCCACGCGACTCCGAAGCCCACAGTGGCAGAGCGGTCGCATGGGCATAAGGAGGCGCCCCCGCAGGAGACACCTTTGCCCAATGTTATGCCAGGGGACAGTCCCTTCGTCACATGGGACCAATTCCAGTCTGCAATGAGTGTGATTAGAACTGTAATGGGGGGAACCGGAGCATCCGGCGCAACGACTCCTATACTACCTGAAGACGGCAGCACTATGCAAGTTTTTCTGCTGCGCATCGAGCGCCGGTACACCCAGATGGGATTGGAACCGCGCGAGTGGGGAAATGCACTTATAGACCACCTCGTGGGCCCGGCTCTAACGTATTGAATGTATCTACGGAGAACTATCGACCTAAGCGACTGGGCGACAGTACAGCGCAGGCTTTTGGAGCGGTTCGACAGAACAATGTTGCAGAGTCAATTGTTAACGGAGTTGGCTAAAGTACGGTGGAATGGTAACCCGAAGGAATACACCGACCAGTTTGCGGCTGTGGCGGAGCGGGGGTTGGGTCTTGCCCCCCACGAACTCGCGAACTACTATTGCACCGGGCTACCGACAGACCTCCATCTTCTAATAGCCAATAACGGACAAGTGAAATATCAGTCGTGGGAACAAGCGGCGACCGCCGCAACGCGGCTCTACGAGCCCAAGCAGAGTGTGCTGGAACTCCGAGAAAGGACCAGTCGAGCCATTAGGGCGGCCGTCCAAGCTAAAGGACCTAGTGGGCGCCAGGCAATTGAAAATCGTTCTGGGGGAACCCACGCTAACTGCTTTGAGTGTCAGGGACGCGGACATCCGGCACGTGCCTGCCCTAGCAAAGGGGAACGTACCAGACGTCGGGGGGAAATCTGCAAGAAGTGCGGCGGTGTCGGACACTATGCTCGGGACTGTCCTACGTATGAACGAAGCCGGCCTGAGCAGGTGGACAAGGGCAGTAGAGCTCTCACCCGTCCTAGCACTGAGAGGACGGAACGATCAAACGTGCGGGCCTAGGCGTGGGTGGAGACGAGCGTTCTAGGCCGCGTAGCCATGGCAAGGGGGTGATGTGTGCGGTAGCGACAGGCCCTAATGCCATTCCAGTCTCCCACGAGATGGGAAACCAACTCCTCCGCACTGCGGGAGGAGCCGACGAGAGCGACGAGCGCGCGGAAGGGACTCCGCCGCTTCCGGAAACGCGACGGGAGTCTGGGCCAGAGTCGATCCTGAGTGAAGAGACTCCGGACGCGACGATGAATAGCAGCAGGAAGTCTGCACAGGCGACAGAAGACGGAAATAGGTCAGACGCGACAGAGATTGTGCCACTCTGGTGGAGGGAGACTTGCATGAAAGAGTCTTACGATCAAGGGGGAGCGTTGTGCTGTGCGGGTGCGACGGCGGTACTTCGCGTAGAGCTTGTGGGGAGCCCTTGCGAGGCCCTCTTGGACACTGGGGCTTCGAGAAGCTTCATTAGTCCCAAAACAGTCGAACGACTGCAGCTGAAAGTACGGAGACTACCAAAAGAGCATAGGTTCACCATTGCTACAGGTGAACAATTACGCATTGATCGGGTAGTGACGGGATTGACGTTGTGGTGTGGACATACACGTTTTTCCGGGGACTTTTTAGTGGGACCCGTTCCCTACGACTTAGTCTTGGGTTTGGATTGGCAGACGGAACACAAGGTGGCCTGGTACTTCCAGTCTGACAAACTCCGAACCTATGTGAACGGCCAATGGTGCGAGTTACCAGTCGTTCGGACTGGTGAAACGACGCTTCAACGTGATAGTCCCACCGTAGTCCACGCAAGGACCCCAGCAGAGCAAGCATACGAGATCTTGGCCAAACGAGTGGAGGGTATGTCAGCCGAGGAGGCAGCTGTATTTCTACGCCCGCCTCCAAGGAGGTATACGTCCGACGCGAAGACTAAGGCAAAGGCGCGGATAACGTCGCTCGTTCGTCAGGCGGCGGCGGTCAACAAGGATCTCAGGACTCCATTGCGCGGTTTGCATCTCATACTGGCTTTGCCCGAAGCCTGTTCGGCAGTGCCCCCAAGGCTCTCGGATGAATGGCAAGGCGCGCTTTCTTGCGCGTTGATAGGGAGTCAACCCACGTCCTCCGGCTGCCGTAGTCCTTTGGCCTCAACCGCCTCGGTGGCAGCGGAGAGTGACGAGGAGTCTCCTTGGCCTATGGCAAAACTCGAGCACACCCTATTCGACGAATGGATAAATTCGACAGAGGCGCAGGATATTAATTCGACAGAGGCGCAGGATATTCCAAGTGAGGTTGCCCAGGTGTTGCACGAGTATCGGACGATTTTTCCCGATACCTTACCTAAGGGATTACCTCCGAGGCGCCCTCATGATCACCATACCCTACTGGTGCCTGGAAAACTTCCATCGAAATCTGCAATATACCGTATGACCCCAGATCAGCTCACATTCCACAAACAGGAGATAGCTAAATTATCGGACAATGGTTGGATCGGACCGACCTATTCGCCTATTTGCTCTCCTACGATCATGGTGGACAAACGTGATGATGGCTCCGGGTAGCGGCAGATGCGTATGGTTGTCAATTACCACGCTCTAAATGCCCTTACGATAGCCCCTGATTTTCCACTACCTCCCATTCAAACCATTCTGGAGATGCTGGGAGGCGCCAAGTATTTTTCCACCTTGGATCTTGAAGCAGGATTCCATCAAATACGTATGGCTAAGGAAGACCGATGGAAGACGGCTTTCCGGTCCGTTCTCGGACTATTCGAGTACCGCGTGATGCCCTTCGGCCTTAAGGGTGCTCCTGCTACGTTCCAGGCCAATATTAATGCCTACCTACAACTTTTATTGGGCCAGGGCGTTATTGCGTACCTAGACGATGTACTTATCTATAGTTCTGATCTCTCTGGGCACGTTTCTCTTCTGCGACAAGTCCTAAGCATTTTTCTTCGACATCAGTTCTACCCAAAATTCCGCAAATGTAAGTTTGCAAGGCAAACAATTACTTACTTGGGTTATACCGTTTCTCCTACGGGGATCAAACCTGCAGAAGACAAAATCGTAGGCATCCGGCATTGGCCAGAGGTGCTGGAGAACGAAACGCAAGTGCGCCAGTTCCTCGCTACCATAAATTACTGTCGCATGTTCATGGGATCGGACTATGCAGACGTTGCCCGGCCGCTGGTTGATCTAACGCGTAAAGACGTCAGTTTCAAATGGACAGAGCTTCACACGCAAGCGGTGCGGCAGCTCAAACAGCGCTTAATCGACTTCACTACCTTACGAGTCCCTGACACGACGAAACCCTTCGAGTTATACACAGATGCCTCTGGTTATGCAATCGGAGCAGTTCTCGAACAAGACGATAAACCCATCGGCTTCTTCAGTCAAGTCATCAACCCCACGCAACAGAGATACTCGATCTACGATCAGGAACTCATGACGCTGGTCACGTCGCTGGACAAGTGGTTGCACTTGCTCCGTGCCTCCAGGGTGACGGCTTTCACTGATCATCAAGCTCTCACCCATCTCCAACGACTCCAAGCATCGAAGCCTCTGCGCGGACGCACCGCCCGGTGGCTAGACTTCCTTGCAGAGTTCCCGGGTTTGCACATCACGTATGTTCAGGGAGCGCGCAATCAAGTTGCCGACGCCTTGTCTCGCCGTCCCGGCCTCTCTAACACCTGCTAGCACGACACACCATCGGCACCGCTGATGCTCGCAACAGGAGAAGCGAGCGCGGCTTCCCGCTCTCGCGGTCCGCCTCCCAACTATCGCGAGCTCGCCGAAATTCGTCCGCGCCGCCCTCGACGACACAGCACGCAGTCTGCGCCTTCCTCTGCGCCGCAGGAACCCAACCCAGAGCCGGAACCTCCTACACTTACAACGAAGGCATCCGCTGGTCCCCCTGACGGGCGCCATTGGCCGCAAGCGTACTCGAAGTGTCCTGCTTTTCGAGTTCCCTACGAAGCCGCAGCAAGCCAACCAGGAGAAGCTCTGCAGATCGAGTTCTGTCATCGCCAATCTACCTTTCGCTACGTAGAGCCTTACCTGCACATCCGCGTTCATGGACTGTGGCGCATCTGCGTCCCCCAGTTCCCTGAGTTCCTTACTCAC